TCCACTGTTAGTAGTGTCTATAAAAGAGCTCTTTTTCCCTACATCGGCGAGTTAATACTTTGATCTCTACCAACTGGAAGCACACATAACTATATTTAAAAACAGGAACATCTGCTATCTTCATGAGTAAATAAACAGTAAAAAAGTAGACGACCAAACCCAAATATTTTCATGAATGTTACATGTCATTTTTGTTAATGTGTAAGTACATCAAACATGTTCTAACAAGCAGGAAAATTGTAGAAACATTCAAATGATGAGCAGTTCCTAATTCCTATCATGGAATCACTGCATGATGCATTGCACTGAGCACCTTCTGTGTGATATGGAGATGGGCAGAGGCAAAGATCAAGGAATTAAAATTCGAAAAGAATAAATAACCTATCAGTAAGCCAATAGAAATCGACACAGAAAAAATAAATAAGTTTACTTCAGTAGCCGATAGGGATCGACGCATTTGGAGACATAACTACCACAACAAAGATTCCATCGTTGTAATAATAGCCTTAGTGCTGAATTATACTCCTTAAAATATGTCTCGGGCATTTTCTTCAAGTACCTTGTAGGCAACAAGAATGACAATGATTCTAGGGAATGAAATTCTCTCGCAAATAATCTGACTTGTATTGTAAATTCACCTAGCTGTATGAAAATCAAAACCAATCATTAAATAGGTTATCCAAAGAATTAATAAACAGACTTTAAGAGCGAAAGTGTTTTAACCTGAACTTCCAAGAAATCATCAAAGCAGAAGTGGCTTCCCTCCCATCAATAAACTTCCAGGTGAACAGGAGAAGCATGATCATGGAGAATCATACCTGAATACCTTAATAGAGAGTCATAACTGTCCTGGCAATAGCACATCTCTTTGTCCCTCCTATATTCTTCAATCACATCAGAATACTAAAATTGACCATGTATCGTTTTCAAGAGAACAAAATGATCGATCAAACAATTGGTCTAATTCAAAAGTTTGTGTCCTTCATTCTCATAATCGTCAGTCTTCTTAACCAACTTCTTCTTGCAATACAACATCTTTCTCCCAGCCCTCAACCCCATCCATCTTCATTCATAACACCATTTTTTAACCCTCTTTTCAAAATCAATCAGGTGAATATTTGAGAGCAGTAATTTGATCTCCCTCCTTATTGATTAGTAGACATAATATAACATTAAATCTTTCCATGTGCAGTTGCTGGCAACCTCTGTCATTTAGTGAAGAGGTGGTAGCTGTGGTGTCAGCAAAAAAATTAAAAATAATAATGCATTGATTTATTGCAAGTTTTTTGAGACCAATATAATAGCTTTGAAGATTTCCTACACCAATCCCGGCCTCATGGCATTCCAGACAGCCTATGTAGATGAAGCAAGTGCAACCATATCTTGTAAAAGAAAGATATATCAGCGTCACAAAGGTACTCCTGAAAATATCTCAATTAAAAATACACATCTCTCTATGGTTCCACCTTCATCATAATGTTACCGTCATATGGAAGAAAGATATATATTACAAATATCATCCATATGTCAGTCAAAGGCTGAACAATTACTATTTGAAATACAAAAATATCAGACGTGATGGAAGATGGTTTCAAAAACACCAACGACACACACTCGTATTTTAAAGTCTTCATACTATAGAGTTATCTCCCTGCAAGTTATGTGTGCTAAATAATCACAACACTTGGATAGCACCTACACATGGGATTATATATTCAATTCACATAATCAATTCTTCTGCTTCTATAAATTCTAAGAATTGCATAAAAAAAGTACGTGTCTATCTAGTAGTACTCCCTCCGTCCGAAAAAGCTTGTCCCTCAAATGGATGTATCTAGCACCAAGTTAGTGCTAGATACATCCATTTAAGGGACAAGCTTGGGACAAGCTTTTTCAGACAGAGGAAGTATAAGATAAGGATTTGAATTGTTGACGCAAGGCCGGTGGAGCCGTGCATGGTCCACTTGCAAAGTGCTTTCGAGCATGGACGTCGTGCACATAGTGCAAAGCTGGCTGAAGGAGTCAATAGATTGGATCCCGGCAAGACTGCACATACTTAACGTTGGCTGCCCCTACCTTGATTGATTCCCATGCTGGCAAGGTTGCACACATAGAGGAAGACTCGATGGATTCTTGCCGGCTAGAAACGAACAAAAGCAAGCACGCAGGTGATGCCTATTTCTTTGCAACAGATGCGTGTCGCCTGACGCAATGGGGGAAAACAATATGTATATAGTGATTTTACCTCAATAGATATTTTGGTAGCTCCACTCCATTAGTATGAAATTTGTGATGTTGAAAACCTGAAAAAAAGGAAAATAATGATCTCAGTGGCAATTGAGTCAGCTGTTGAATAGGTACGACATTTATTTCAGGATTATAACTGTTCTCTCCCATTAAACAATGGCTTGAATTCTTTCAAGAGAGAACCATACAGTAAAAAGCTTCAGAACACAATGTACTCTGAATCAGGTCATATTCAGGCCATATACATCGAGCTTATACTACCAAAAAATATCAGCTAGAAATCTAGCAAGTATCTTCAAGGATCAAGAACATGAAAGAGGAATAATGACGAAAGAATATTGAATCAAGATTTTTTTTACAATGTCATGAACCTGATGCCAACGGCGTACTCGTAGCGGCCGATGAGCCTTTGGCCACTGCCTACACTGCGCTCGCGCACGCCGCTTCGCTGCTGCCGCAAGCACCGGCCACACTCCCCGCCGCAAGCAGCTGAAATGATGGAACTCCATGCCATCATAAGCCATTCCAGATGTTGAATTAAGGCTAGTACGACATCCCATATTTGAGAATTGCACCCGGAAGATTGCACTCAACACGCCAGTTGAAACCAAGATTAATAATACAGATACAAAGAAAACAAAGATAAGCAGGAATAGGATGTTGATGGCCTGCTCATCTTGGTCCCTCTAGACCCAAAAAGTTCGTTACCTTTGTAGAAAAAAGATTTTGTGGTTCCCCTGGTATCTAGCACCAGCGACAATTTCCTATTGTGGCGACACCCCGACATGGCCCTACTTAAGCTCCTTCTCGTTCTTGCTTTGGTTCCGGTCCGGCAAACCATACCATATTCCAAATATTTTTATACTGTAGCATCCTAAAAGTTCTCATGTCTTCCAGTACATTATCTTTTGTAGAATCATCATATATAGCTCTTAGTCTATGTCCTCCCAACCTAATGCAAAATGAACAAAATCAGATATCTATACATCAGTACACAACTTAGCATATACTCCCGCCGTCCCATAATATAAGAACATTTTTTAAGCTATATCATGGGAGGGAGTAGTAGACAGAGTACTGTTTCAAATAATGGTCCCTAAGAGTAAGGTTAACGTTTCCAACCAGACTTGTGAGCATCTTCGAGCAACATACAAGCCACAGGAGTGTAATTGGATATCACAAGTGTCAAATCAGTAGCTGAGCATAGCATCTCTACATGGACTAATAAAACCAAAATAAATTTTAACATACCGCCGGTCCTACAACAGTGGTTGATAGTGAATTTGGTAGACACCCATAAATGACAGTGTAGCAGTGTCTC